GGGCTGGCCCCAGGGCGGCGCTAGGGGGCGCTGTGGGGCAGGGAGCGGGGCGGGGGGCTCCGCAGGGGGCGCTCTCCCCTGGCGGTCAGCGGTGGCCCTGGTGAAACCCAGGCGTCCGAGGCAAGGCGCAGCTCTGAGACCCGTCGCCTCCCTGCTGAAAGACAAGAGCGGGGGGCACTGCCCTCTACTGCCCACAGTTGGTCATTACACCCCCCACCACGCACCGTTCTTTCTTTCTCACTCACACCCCATTTCTCTCCCTCCCTCTCCCAGGCTCACTTCACCGCCGAGTGCCGGTTTAAGGAGTGCGTCTTCGAGAATTACTACGTCATGTACTCCTCCACCCTGTACCGCCAGCGCGAATCCGGCCGCTCCTGGTACCTGGGCATCAACAAAGAAGGCCAGCCCATGAAGGGAAACCGAGTCAAGAAGACCAAAGCCGCCGCCCACTTCCTGCCCAAGCTATTGGAAGGTGAGTGGGGGAAGCAGGAACAATGGGGCGGGGGCTAGGGGAAGCAATGGGGGATGTAAAATAGAGACACCCCCCCACACCCCCGGTGTCTTTCTGTGTGGTCGGGCGGCTGGAGCAGCCAATCCCGTGCTGTCCCTCACTTCTTCCTTCTCCGTGTGTCTCTCTCCCTCCCCACAGTGGCCATGTACCGCGAGCCGTCGCTCCATAACGTGGTGGACCCCTCGGCGCCCCAGAAATCAGATGAGGCCGGGGCCCCCAGCAAAGAGACAGCCAAGCCCCGCAAGGCGACGTAACCCCGAGGGCGGGGAGGGGCGTCGGCACCGCTCCAGCAATGCCCCTCCCTCGCACGTTCCCGCTCTGCCCCCTTCTGCTCAGGACGCCTGCCTACCTACATTCAACCTCTGGACCTCAGAAAAAAATGCCATCGAGGGTGTAATACCCTTTGCCACCACTGGGAGGGCGACATTGCCCTGCTGGAGAAAGAATTAGGGGTGTGCGTATATATATATATATATGGTCTTCCATGCCAGCTGAGAGCGTGATTCCCTGTTCGGCCAACAAGTGGTGACATTGGGAAAGGTTCTGATCTATGCCAGCTTCCTTTGCAGCAATAAGGGTGCAATGCCTTTTCCCACCAGCGGAGGGCGATATTGGGAAAGCGTCTGATTGTCGCAATAAGGGCGCGATGCCTTTTCTACCAGCGGAGGGCGACATTGGGAAAGACTATTAGAAACATCCCCTTCCGTTGCACAATGGACGATACGCTTTTCAACCGCTGGGTCGCATCGGGGAAGGATGTTCTAGGCGAGCCCTTCCATTTGCAATAATTAAAAAAAAGGGTATCCTGCCCACTTCCAGCGGAGGACGGGGACATCGGGACATCGCCCCCTGGCGTGAGACCACCGAGTGGTGACACGGTCACATTGGGAGAGGCTATTACATACGCCACTTTCCCTTGCAATAAAAAGACAGCGTGTTCCTCTTTCCCACCAGCAGGTGGCGACGTTGTCACAGTGGGGGGGGGAAGATGGGTCTATCTGCCGCCATCTAGTTGATACCCTTTCTCCCCACTAGGGGGCAACACTGTTGCATCAGGAGAGAGTGTTCTAGACATCACCTTCTCTGGCGTCGTACCTTCTTCGACCACTAGGGGGGGTGACATTGTCACAAAGGGGGGGAAAAGAGAGCCAGCCGTTCCGGATTTCTTCCCCGTTTCGATGGAAATGAGACACCAATCCGGGGGGGGAGGAGAAGTGAGGGGCAACCAGAAACTCCGCCCCCTTTTCCCACCAGCCCCTCCCACTCCAACATGCCAAATACTGTAGGATGTAGCCCTGCAACAACAGGAGACAAAGCCAGTCACGAGGAATCTGGATCCAGACTCCAGGACAATCGCGGGGGGGGGGGGGGGAAAAAGGGTGGGGGGGGGGGGGGGGTCGATGCTTGATGGACACCTGTTGTATTTTATTGTTTAGTGGCAGAGGGAGGGGGGAATGTGTGTGGATGGAGCGGGGGTCAAAGCCACTTTCTGTTCCCCTTAGGCCAGGCGTTGGCCGAGGTTTTTAATTCTCTGACTCCGGTCCTCTGCCATGTGTCGCCTGCCTCCCAGAACCAGGGAGGGAACCCAGGAGTCCTGGCTCCCAGCCCCCCTGCTCTAACCCACCAGCCCCCACTCCTCTCTCAGAGCCGGGGAGAGAACCCAGGCGTCCTGGCTCCCAATTCTCCCCACCTCTAATCAACAGACCCTACACTCCTCCCAGAGTTGGTGACGGAACCCAGGAGTCCGGATTCCCGGCCCACCCATCCCCCACTCCTGCTATAACCCACTGCACCCCATTCCCTTCCTAAAGTCAGGACTCCTGGGTTCTCTCCCCGGCTGCGGGAGGGGAGTGGGGGCTGGGAGCCAGGACTCCTGGGTTCCCTCCCCGGTTCAATATTTTCCTAGCCATGACGGGAGGAGCGTCACCTGGCTACACCCTGCTAGCCAATCTGGCCACCAGCCATATCCGGGATAACTACCTACAGCCCCCCCCCCCCCCCCGCCGGGTGGGGTGGGGCGGAAGAGAGAGCCATAACTAGCTGCAGAGGGGGGGGTCTCCCATCCCCTCCCCTCTCCCCTTGACAGGCAATAACAGGGGTTTGGAAGAACTCAGGAATATTGGGGGGGGCCTCTGCCCCCCTCCCAGGGCAATTGCCCCTCTTGAGGGCTGGGTGGAAGGTCCGTGGGGAAGGGGGGGTCTACAGGGAGGCCACAAAGTGGCGATGGGGGGGCCCATGACATACAGGAGCGGTTGTGAGTCCGTCTAGTATGCGAGAGGGAAGGGGGGGATGGAGCAGCCAGCAGGGGGCAGCAAATACAGAGACACACACACACAGAGATAGACACACACACACAGAGACACGCAGACACAGACACACACAGAGACAGACACACACACAGAGACACGCACACAGACACACACAGAGACAGACACACAGAGACACGCAGACACACACACACAGAGAGAGAGACACACACACACAGAGACACACACACACAGAGAGAGAGACACACACACACACAGTGGCCTCTATCGTCTCTCTTTCACTGGTGCCTGGGGTGGGCTCAGCAGGGGGCGCTCTCCCCTGGCAGGCAGGGCTGGTCCCAGGGCGGCGCTAGGGGGCGCTGTGGGGCGGGGAGCGGGGCGCGGGGGCTCAGCAGGGGGCGCTGGCCCCACTGGATCATGCCACATGGGGCGGGGGACTCCGGAGGTCGGGGAGGGGGGTTTTACGTCTCTCTCTCGTGTATTTTGTACAACAAGCCGACACTGTGTATATCTCTGTACAGCTCTGACCCCCCCGGGCCCCAACCTGCCCCCAACCATGTGTAGGGGGTGGGGGAGGGGAACACGGGACCCTCATGTGCCCGCCCTTTCCTCTGGCCATACCCCCTAGGCCTCCCCCCATTCCCTTCCCCACATCCCCGGTCCCTCTTACTGCCCCTCCTCCTCCTTTCTTACCCCCTACTCCCTCTCCGGCTCCTGCCTGCCCCCTCCCATACTGCCCCCTGGCTCCTCCCCTACAGCCCCTCCCCTTTCCTGGCCCCTCCCCTCTTCGGCCCCGCCCCTTTGTAGCTCCTCCTCCTTCCTGCCCCTCCCCCACCCTCTCCCTGCACAGAGAGCAATAAGGCCCCCAGCCTGCACCCTGGGGTCCCTGCATGAGTGCCAGCCCCTCCCTCTGCAATAAACCCCCCAACCTTCCACCCCCCCAGTGCAAAGGGGCCAGGCCCCCCCCAACCTGCACAACCAAGGGAATAAACCACATTTCTATGATTCTACCTGGCTCCAGGTGGCTGTGTGGGACTCCGAGCCGTAACCCGGCTCCGGGATTTCCCCGTCTCCAGGAGGGGAGTAGGGGGCTGTTCTGACTCCGTTCCCGGGCTCTGGATCTGGGATTTACCCAATTCCCGGGGGGAGGGAGCAGCTACCCCCCAGCTCCGGTCCAGGAGGGGGCTGTGATCCAGCTCCGGGATTTACCTGCCTCCGGGACAAGTGGCTGCCATTTAACTCCATTCCAGGCCACACCAGGATCCAGTTCCAGGCCTTTTCTCTCGCCGGCGAGGGGGACACGATCCAGCGCCGGGTTTTCCTCAGCCCCACAGGAGAACCTGCCCCAGGGGCCATTCCAGTGCCCAGGGGAATCCGGATCCGGGCCTTCCCCGTCTCCAGGCGGCCTCAGCCCCTGCTATCCGCCCCCCCACCCCTCCGTCTGTCCCCCATCCCTGACACCCCCATCTACCCTCCATTTATCCATCCATCCCCATCCACACCCCTCCATGCATCTCTCCATCTATCTATCCATGCCCATCCACCGCCTCTATCT